CCTAAGTCGAAGCACTCGTTAAGTTTCCAATATTTACTATCCTATCAAGGAATAATGCTTGCAATTTAGAATGTTACACTCCAAGGCTGTCACTTCATCTTTACGTGGACAGTTAGTTGCTTAGCAACGTCGTTCCGATAACTGGTTGTTTGGTCGGGTGTTGGAAACCGCAATTCGCCATCAACTGGTACTTTTAGTGCTCCCCCCTGACTTCTCAACCAGGTTATTTTTGTTTTGAATTTTTAAATTATAAATGTTTTTATACTAAGCTATTTCATAGAGGGTAACAGCTATATTAATTTTAAAGCTATTAAGTGTCACCCTCTTTGACTAAAGTTTTATTGATAGTCTGTGTGCACCAGACACACCATTATCCATAAACTACGGCATGTGTGGTTGGATTTTCAAAACTATTGACTTCCCTGGTAAGGTGTTAAATATCCTGGTAAAATTGTTTCCGCGCTAGACAACTGTTTGTTCGATTTTTGTTGATCAGCCGGGTGTTATCATTAGTCGTCAGAAAGCTTCTCGCTACGGTAATATGCCTTGGACTCATCAAGCGATTCAAAGTCCAGATATGGAGTGTCCTCCTGCATCATTTTTTCCAGTGATTTCGTCGCACTTTCAAAAGTAGGTCTTTCGCTGGGCTTCTCCTTCCAACAACTTTGCACCAGCTGATAACTGGAAAAGGAACGGTTAGACTATAATACGTTCTTAATTAAGCCGTTCCTGACATTTTCTATGCGCGTGCTTTCTCTTGGACCCGGCTCTCGCAAAATAGTGACCATGCATGATTGGTGGATCACAGTTTTTAGACACAGACTATCTCGATGGTCATTATTTGCCTAAGAGCAGGCCTAGAAAGATGTTCTCATTTACTTGAGGTAATATATGGAGGGATAATGAAGAGACGTTTCGACGCATCTATATCAACGAATCGGGCAATTTTTAATTAACTTGTAGAACCAGCCAGTTCATCAGTAAACACTACACTGGCTGAAGATACAACCCGCCGGCCGGAGTGAGCAACTTTGGTACCTGATGTACGCCACAGCAAATTTTAGGTAACAGCAGACTTTTATATTTCTTGAGTGTGTTTTGATCCGAAAGGAAATGTGCTATGATTTATGCAATACTCCCCTCCGCTACCCCGCAGTTATCTAAAATCTTTCCTTGGCCTCGACGTGCGAACCAGGAACGGAAGTAAGTTGAAGGTTTGTTTAATTGAGAAATTTCAGAAACAAAAACTGTGTTTAAACAGAAGCTGGGAAACAGGAAATCAATGCTTCGG